GGGTGGCGGCGGCCCAGACATGACGAGTTTGCGAGAGTCTGTCGGCCGGGAATTTCGAGCCCAGCGCACAGCAACCTGGCTCAACGACCGAGACGTCGCGCGCAGCATCGGGACTGCGCCTGCGCAAGTAGCCGCTTCAGGCCCCGCCCAGGCTGGAGGGGCGGAGCTTGGAGCAGGTTAGGGAGCGAAGAGAAAAGCTCAGGGCGCTGCCTGGCGCACACGCACTGCGTGCCTGCGACGCCTCCAGGGACGGTCTGCCAAGGGCTCGGCGTGAGAGGCGGAGCCGCTCGGCCCCCAGGTCGGGGCAGCAGCGCTTGGTCAGCTGACCTAGAAGACTGAACCCAGAAGCCGGGTCCCGCGGCGGATCCTGAGGCGGTGAGAGGGCTTGGGGGCTGGCGGCAGGTCACAGGGCCGGGGTCGGGACTCTTGACACTTCCTGCCACGTTTTCCTCCCGCCCACCCTTTCCTCCTCCTGCCCCCGCGCCGTCCGAGGCTTCTGTCCCCTCCAGAGCCGCGAGATCGTGGGACGAGGCGCGGGCTTGCTTGGGGAAGCTTCTGGGGTTCCAGGGCCTTGTCCACCTCGGGACGGAGAGCAAGGCCGTCAAGCCAGCCTGGGCAGGGTTGAGGTCCGGGTCTCTTTTCACCTGCTCGTGTGGCCAGTGGCTTCTAGTGGCTTTGTTTTCCTGCGACGGACTGAGAGAGGGCACTGGCCCAGAGGCTGCCCTGTCATTATTCCTCTGAACTGGCGATGGCCGGAAGGCCCGGAGCAGGTGGAATCCCCAAACCGGGACGCCGCCCCACCGCATTCTCCCCAGGTCTGCCCAAGCCAAATGTAGGGCAGGGTGCCAGGAGTGCAGGGCCAGTGTGGGTTTAGGTGTGTGAGGGCTGGCCAGGGTCATCGTCACAGGTCTTGTCCATTCGACACTTACCAAAGGCCACTGTGTGCCTGAAACCCTGGGGAGGGAAGGGGAGTTAGAGCAAGAACTGTCATAGCCTCCCTGAATATTACTGTGAGTGTTCCCCACTGTGATCGCACGGCCTGGGGTATCTCAGTGAATCCTGCCTTAAGCCTAGGTGGCGAGAACTTGGATTATTTCCCCAAGTTACTGATCAGAACGCTGGGACTCCATCGTTTGCCCAGGATTTCTAGACCAGTAGCTAGACAGAAGGATTCACTTTTCCTCTTAGTCCTAGGCCCTCCTAGCTCAATTTTCTCCTTCTTTTCCTTTTCCTTGTAACTTCTTTCCTCCTTTTCTCTTTCTTTCTCTTCTCTCTTTTCCTCCCTGCGGTTGCACTCTGTCTCAATATTTTCTGAACTTTTACTGCATAGCTTTTACTGGTGAGCCTAAGTGCTGAGACCAGGAAGGGAATAACCACGGTGAAGGGAAAGGTGGGTGTTCAAATGGTTGCTGAGGACCTTGAGGAGCCTTCTCCAGGGGTATGGTCCAGGGAAGGGGAAGAGGGGACAGCTGGCTTTTTGCAGGGCCTCTTGGAGAGGGCCGTTTAGAACTGGGCCACAGTATCTCTTAAACAGCCCCTGTGGGGAGAAGGCCATCTGTAGGTGGAGAGACAGTGTGTGCAGACACCTGGGATTCTGAGCTGACTCTTTGCAGACCTGGGACAGGAGGGAGAGTTAGAAGGGCAGTTCTCGAGATGTTTTGGGGCCTTGTCTCAAGGAATGTGGATTAGATCCAATAGGATAAAGTGGAAAGTGTGTCTGCTTTTGTGGGAAATGCCTCTCTGGCTTTGCTTTGAGTCAGGGAGAGGGGTTGGGTGTGGATCGAGAGGCTCTCTGCAGCTCAGCCTTTCTCAAAGTACATGGTGTGTGTTGGAATTCTTGAAGAAACCAGAATCTCTGTCCACATCGTTTCTTCCTTAGCCCGGTGAGAGAGAGGCCCCAGAATGGTCTAGGTACTGGGCTTTCATCCTCATAACAATCACTACCAAATATTAAGTCAGACACGGGGCTGAGAGTTTTATGAGTGCTTTGTCAACGCAGCCACCCAAGGATGGAGGGTCATTAGCTCCATTTTACAGATGAGCTCCAACAGGTTATGTGGTTCACCAAAGCTACTCAACCACATCTGTGAAATGGGGACAGTGTCCTCTACTGCTGGGAAGTTGTAAGGACCACAGTGTCCAGACATGTGATGGCTGAATCTACCAGCGGAGGGCGGGGGAGGCGGTCCACTCTGTGTGTGTGGGGTGTTTGTACTAAAGGACTTGGTTTGAAATGCCTTTGGCGTTACAAAGATGTAGTCCTTAACCTGGACTGCATTAGTTTAGGGTGGTTTAGGGTAGCTTTGCAGCTGGCAGTGACAAGGCATCAGGTAAATGCTTCCAGCTTTATCTATGCTGATGATCATCAAGGAGGGCTACTGATATCCAGGAAGAGCCTTTCCACCCTACTGCGTGGGCCTCTTGTGATACCACAGTGAGCCAGGTAGACAGTGACCTGGGCCGTAGCTCCCACAGCCAGTCACGTTAGGGCTAGACTTACAACTTCCTGAGAAAAGGAGCTGACTCGTTTCCTAGCTCCTTCTGAGACTTCCTGATCAGCAGTTCGAAGGGTCCAGCCAGGGCATTGCTTTATGAGGAGCAGAGGTCCCGGACACAAGTGGGTATGAAGGTGCAAGAGGGAGCCACTGCCTGGGTGAGGAAATCCCCACTTAAAACCGTAAGAAAAGGGGAAGCGAGCTTTTTGCGCTTCGAGAGCTGGGCAGCCATGCCTTACCCACAGGAGGTTCTGTGCGCCCAGGGACAAAAGCATCTGGGGCAGTGGACTGTGGCGGCTGCAAGCAGGGGTTTGGGTCTTGGTCCCGGGTGTGACGTTTTTTCTTCCTGGCAGGGAGGCCCTGGCAGAGCACATCCTTACCGTGGTCTCAGGTCCCTGCTGGGTGTAGCAGTCAGGAGTCCCCACTTCCTGGAGTGGGGAGGACAGACTGCATTAATGCATGCCAGGTGCTCAGCCTGGAGCTGGGGAGGGACTGAGGGGTCAGGGCGGCGGCGGTTATCACTGACAGGTGGCTCCAGCCAGGGTCCCTTTCTCCCCTTTTTAGGTTGTCACACAGCAGTGACTGCTCTGCTCTCTGTCCAGGGTGCCCAGGCACTGGCAGCAGTCGTCTGCACCCAGCTGGATTCTGGCTTGAGAGGTGACCGTGGGTTCCTTACCAGTGGGTGTCCCACAGGCCATGTGAACTCCTGGGGAAACTCGGGCTCAAGAACCTCAACTTGTACCCCAGATGCCCGGGCACCCCTGGGGGGAATCACCTTCTCCTCATTGTCATGTGACCAATATTTGGGGCAGTTCATGAGAGCCTGAACTGGGCAGCCTGGCTTTGCACACCCTGCCGGAGTAACTCATAGTAACAACAGTGAAAAATGGATTTGGCCTCAGTGTTCATACAAACGCTCGTGTCTCTGACTGCAGGTTCTGGGCTCCCCCTGTATGTTTGTGGTTGCAGGTGCTCACTGTGATCTTGTACCTGGAGGCCTGTTGTGCCCCACTGGCAAGGACGGTATCTTTTATCTTTCTTTGGTCCTGGCACTTAACTTGGTCGAGGCCAAGTGATGGGGCTGGGTTAGGGTTAGGTTGGAGGGTGTCGGTGAATAGGGGCTGCGTCTCCCACAGCTGAAGCCTGCTCTCTTTCTCTCTGTAGAAGGAACCCTCACCGGCCTCAGTGCGCCAGTCCCCAACTTCTCTCCTGCGTGGTCTCTCCAGACCAGAACCCCTCTGCAGCCATGCACTGGAAGAAACTGGGCACTGGCAACTTCTCCAGCTGCCCCAATGGCTCCATCCTGTGGATATGGGACATGTTTCACGAGTGTGCCCAGGACGGCTGGGACAAAGCCAGTGTGGGCCTGGGCCTGATCTCTATTTTCTGCTTCGCTGCGTCCACCTTCCCGTGAGTTGTGCCTGGGTAGCTGGAGCAAGCAGGGCTTGTGGCGTGGGACTGTGGCACTGCATGGGCCTGTCTAGACGCCAGGCCAGGTATACCACCCTATCCAGTCACAGTCAGTGACTTCCGGCCAGGTATACCACCCTACCCAGTCACAGTCAGTGATTTCTGGCCCGCTTGGGAAGGGCCTGGATGGAGCCCCCCAAGAGCTCAGGCTGGGCATTGCTGCTACAGGAAGAGTAACCTTTACTCTTGTTTACTGAGTGTCCACTCTGGACCTGGCTCAGTTCTAAGTGCCAGATGTGTTTTTACCTGTTTTGGTCCTGACAGCAAGCCTGTGGGATTGGTACAGGGGCTTCTCTATTTTACAGATGAGGGAACTGAAACCCAGGGAAATGACGTACTGTGCAGTAGGTTGCACAGTTGGTAAGATGGGGATGTGGGGACCAGGAAGGCTGGCGTGCATCCAGCATGGATTTTGTCCTCATAGTTTAGATGGTCTGGTGTGGAGACAACAGCACTGAATACAAAATGCTGATGATGAAGGGGCACAGAGACAAACTGCATAACAACACAGGAGTTGGGAGTGTCTACCCTCAGCAGCCAAGTGTAGTATTGCACGCCTGTAATCCCTGCCCTCTGGGAGGCTGAGGCAGGAGGATTGCAAGCCTAGTCTGAGCAATTTAACAAGACCCTGTTTGAAAATAAAAAACGGGCTATGGATGTAGCTCAGGGTGAAGGACCTGGTCATTCGAGAGATGCCGATAACAACAACACTGAGATTCACCTCACCCCAGAATGGCTGCTGTCAAGAAATCAACCAATAACAAATGCTGGCGGGGGTGTGGGGAGAAAGGAACCTTTTTAGTTTCTTTCGTTTTCTTTTTGCTGCTGGGGATCAAGCCGAGGACCTCATGTACTAAGGAGGCTCTCAACCTCTGAGCTACACCTCAGCTCCTCCCCACCTCCCTTCCTCCTTTCTCCCTCCCTTTTCTCCTTCCGTCTTTCCTTCCGACCTTTTCTTTTCTGGGTCTTCATGGGTACCTGCATGCAGATGGTTAAAAAGTTTGTGGAACTAGGGGTGTCGGCCAGTTTGTGCAAGGCCCTAGGTTGGGTCCCTAGTACCTCAAAGAAAGAAATTTGAACAGGAAATGATGTGCGCATAAGGGTTAAGCACAAGATCAGAGGCTCGGGGCAGGAGAATCTGAGCTGTACGACAGCGCCCGTGGTCCCCAGTGGGGAGGACTGTGACAGCCCGGATTTCGAGGGAAACGGGAAAGACCAAGGAGTCCATGCCCACGGAGGGCTCTGAACTGTGCCTGAGACACCCCCGGCCCTAGCAGCATTGGCCCGTGCTCAGCTTTGGCCTCAAACTTCCACCTAGCCACAGGTCCAGAAAGGGTCCCAGCACTAAAGAAAGACCTTTGGGGAAACAGTGGGCAGCCAGCGTTATGGAGTCACAGGCTCTCCACCTTGTCTTCTCTGTTGCCCTTTGTGGCTTGGCCCCTCTTTATCGACGGGTCCTGGAGATGGAGCAAGGTGCAGACCTTGGGCTACTGTGCTGCCCGCAACCTGCTCTCAGACTCAGAAATACAGGAGGGCTGGGATGTAGTGCAGAAGTAGAGGGCTTGCCTAGCATGTGCGAGGCCCTGAGCTCTGTCCGCAGCACTGCAAAAAATGAAACAGAACAAAAGAGCCAAGGAACCTGTGATACAGTTCTCAGGGCCTGACACCAACTCCTGGTCCCTCATGCAGACCCCGAGTCCCCTCTGGGACCCCATGGGATGGCAGGGCAGAATCTGAGTGAGGCTGAGGGTCTCTCTGGCCGTAGTCGCCCAGGCTAGAAGGGATTCCCCCAGGTAAAGGGCAGAGAAGGGTCGTATAGACTCTGCTACCAGGAAGGATGCCTCCCCGCCATCTCCTGTTCTGGGGTTCATGGGAGAAGTATCCTTGTTGGCCCTCTGAGGCAAGGTACCCTCACAGCCCTGGGCCGCTGAGCTCATGTCTTCTCTCCACAGCCAGTACATCAAGGCTTGCAAGACAGGAAACATGGACCAGGCTCTGTCATTGTGGTTCCTCCTGGGCTGGATCGGTGGTGACTCCTGCAACCTCATTGGCTCCTTCCTTGCTGACCAGCTGCCCCTGCAGGTGGGTGGTCCCCGGGCAGGGTGGGACAGCCAGCGACAGGCAGGGCAGAGGCACTGGGAGCAGGCAGCAGGAGAAGAGGCCCAGGCCTCAGAATCCTGACCCATCAGTCCATCCGCTTAGCAAGGGTCTGCTCCTGGCGTGCTGTGTGACAGTGGGCAAGTCTCTGCCCCTTCCAACCATCGGGGTCTTTTGCTTTTGAGGAGCTACAACTCCAACTTCAGAAGTTAAGGTACAGGGCCCTTGAGGAGGAGCTGAGGTTTTCCTTCGGAGCCCGGATGTCATCGTCCTCCTGTGGCTAGGCACAGCTGAGAATCATCCAGGGAGCACTGTCTTCTGTAGTAGGGCTGTGAGGCCTTGACCCGTAGAACCAGCCACAGATTCCTCAGCACTTCCTGGGGCTGGGCACTTGGCTGGGCCCTGTGCCTCCATGGTTTCTCCCTCTGCCAGGCAGGAACCATGATCCCTCCTCTTAGGTGAGGAAAGAGGCTCGGAGGTGAAGTACCACAGGGCTGGTCCTGAGTCCGAGGCTCTCTTCTCCTGCAGAGCTACACAGCTGTGTACTATGTCCTGGCCGACCTGGTAATGCTGACTCTCTACTTCCACTACAAGTTCAAGAAACGCCCCTCTCCGTGTGAGTACGGGGACGCGGGTGCTCTGGAGCAGGCTCCCTGCAGGCAGCCGGAGGGGCCTGGAACTTGTGAGGAAGTGGGTTTCTCATTGCTGAGATAAGCCAGGCCTCAGAAAGGCCTTATCTAAAAGCCTGAGTTCATGGGTCAAGATGGTGGCTGGAGGGCAGTGAGCACATCCGGCCCAGACCACAGGGAGTCCCGATGACTCGACTCCCATTCAGCGAATGTGGCTCAGGTCCTCCCCTGTGTCTAGCCCTGGGCTTGGAGCTGGGCAAGGAGGACAAATGCACAGGCTGCCGCTACCCTCCAGGATTCAGCAGGGACAGTATACAAGGTCAGCTCAAGGGTGAACGAGACACGGGATTGTGTCTCAATGATGTTTCCTCTCCCGGACCCTACTGTCCTCATCGTTTTACCTTTGCAACCTAGGAGAAGGGTACTATTGATAGACTCATTCTGTAGATGAATTAAAGCTCAGAGAGGTTAGGTCACTTGTCCAAGGTCGCATGGCTGGGATGCCACCCTGTCTTTGTGGTACATCTGGATTCTTCTGGAACCTTGGATTCTCTTTTGCTCTGTGTCTAGTGTCTGCCTCCATCAATTCTGTGCTCTTGGTCATCTCTGGGACCGTGTGTATCACACCACTGCTGCGCAGCGCTGGCCCTGTGGCTGCCCCGCGGGAAGTCTTCCGGGGGCGGATGCTCCTGTCTGTGGAGCCCGGCAGTAAGGTGAGGTGGGGTTAATGGGTCGGGGTCTGGCTCTCTCCCAGGACCTCCCCTGCAGGTCACATGGTATTCGGTGGAGGAGGATCACCCTTTGGGCCCACAAGGCTCTGAGCACCCACTTCTGTCCCTCCAGCCCTTTACAAAGCAGGAGATCATTGGCTTCGTCATCGGCTCTGTGTCCAGTGTGCTGTACCTGCTCTCAAGGCTGCCGCAGATCCGCACCAATGTGAGCCTTCCCAGGGGAGGGCCGGGTTGGAAGGAGAGTGGCCCAGTGGCCCAGGCCTCTGGGTTGAGAAGTGGCGCGGTGCAGGAGCCTTTAGGCCTGACACCATCCTCACTGGTGGCTTGGCAGGCTAATCCAGCTCTCTGAGCCGCATTTTCTGCCTCTGGAAGAAAATGAGCCAGGAGATAGATACCGGCCATGAAGGGGTACCTGAGAGCTGTGTGTGTGCCCGGAGTCAGAGGTCAGATGAGAAGGAGCATCTCAGGAGGGGAGAGGAGAAGAAGGGAGCGGGGGCCAGGGATTTAGCTCAGTGATGTCGCTGCCTGCCTTACAAGTGCAAGGTCTGGAGTTTGATCCCTGTTACTGGAGGGAAAGAAAAGAGGAAGGAGGGAGGGGAGAGGAACAGGAACGGGGAGGCTGGCTGGGTGGTAGGAGTCCGTGGGGCTGGAGAGCAGAGCAGTGTGGGGCCGGCAGGTCTCTGTGGACCTGGGCGGGGGCCGGAGAGTAAGGAAAGGAGTGGTTAGAAGTGGTCTGGACGGGGCTGGTCCTGTGCTCTGGCTCAGAGTACATACAGCGCGATGGGCTCGGGGGACGCGGGCGGTTACAGTCCAGAGTCACGGGGTCCTCTTCACCCCCAGTTCCTGCGGAAGTCGACCCAGGGAATCTCCTACTCATTGTTCGCATTGGTGATGCTGGGGAATGCGCTGTACGGGCTTAGCGTGCTGCTCAAGAACCCCGAGGTGGGCCAGAGTGAGGGCAGCTACGTGCTGCACCACCTGCCCTGGCTTGTGGGCAGCCTGGGTGTGCTGCTGCTTGACACCATCGTATCCTTCAGAGCGCATAGGGCAGGTGGGGCAGGGTGGGCCAGGAGGCCGCTGCTTCCACACGGCTCAGCATGCGTTACCTGTCTAGCCATCGACCCGTCCATATGTTTGTCCTACCCACCGTCCGTCACCCACCCACTCGCCTGTCCGGCCTCCCGTCCACTTACCCGTCAGTGCCTGTGTCCTCCTACCTGCTCAGAGGGTTCACACCTGCTGTGGGTCAGCCACCTGACCAGGCACCAGACCCATCAGTGGGCCCAGGACGAGGCACAGCTTGGTGGACAGTCCTACAGGACACATGGCTTATCCTTGCAGTGGCTCCAGGTGCTACAGGGAGAGACAGCAAGAGTGCATCACCACGGGATTGTCCTGGCTTTAGGGTAAACAAGGCCTTCTGCAAATGTCATTTAAACTGTGGCCTGAGCAAGAAATTGGTTGGGCAAAGGCAAGGGAGAAAGTTCCAGGCACAACTTGTGCAAAGGGCCTGTGGAACAGAAGAGTCTATCCAGGGTATGGGAATGAAAACTAGAACGTTAGTTGAGTTAGAGCCAGAGAATCCTGGATTCACATCCTGCCTCCCCCACTGCTTCCTAGCTGTGTGACACAGCACACCATCAACCTCTCTTCCTCTGAGTTAACAGATGCTGCCTCACCAGCATCCTGGGCAGTGACGTCAGATAATGTATCGGAAACCTCTTCCCCTGTAAGCCAGCACTCGGAGTGCTGAGGAAGTCACAGGACATGATTTGTGTCTCGTGTGGGAGAAAGTAATCACTGCCCTTGTTTCAACTGCTTGCTGCGTCCCCGAGGGCTATAATGAGAGGGAGACAGGAGGCGGGCGGGTCCCGGACCAGGCTCTGGGAGGCTGCCTGAGAGCTCGGGGAGGACTGGGGTGCGGCTGGGCTGGGGAGCAGGAGGGCGCTCAGCGTGGGGGACACAGCACAGCCAAGGCTGGGGGTCGAGGCTGGGATCCCGCCTGCAGGGGGAAAGGAGGGTGACAGAGGGAAGGGAGGTGAGCCCCTCCCGCAGGCCCAACTCCGGCTGCTCCCTCGGACCTTAACGCGGCCCTCAGATCTCCACCCAGTTCCTGGTGTACAGGGACACCGCGGAAGCTGCCTCCCTAGAGCGCGAGCCCCTCCTGCCCAGCTGACCCGCGTCACGATGGACCCAGGATGACAGAGACCTCCAGATACCATGCCCAGAAGGAGAGGTGCAGGCAGTGTCACTGCTGCCACCCCCAGGCCTGGGACTCCCGCCCAGCTGTCCCACCCCACTGCCTCTGACCCCTCCGGAGGGACTGACTCTCCCAGAAGCAAGACAGCCCTAGGCCTGGCCTGAACAGCACCCTCCAGGTCAAAGGCAGCTGCTCTAACCTCGGGGACCCCGGTTCTGCCGCCCCTTCACCCACCTACCTCGTTCTGCCTCTGTACCCGCAGGGGTCACGCCATGGCGAGAGACCCAGGACTAGCCCAGGACTTGATGTAACCTAGTAAACGTACCTTCCAGCGAGGCCTGTCCCTGCCGCTCTGTCCTTAGGTGTGGGGGTCTAGGCTGTTCAGAAACAGTGGTAGGAGGTGGCCTGTGGGGAGGTGAGCTGAGGGGGGAGGCTGGGGGAGGTGGGGACGTGTCTGCCTGTACCCCAGCCCGGCCTCCCAGCGTCTCTGGTTCTTCCCACATCTCTGTGCTGTGTCGCAGGCTCCGGAGTGAGGAATGACACCCAGTGGGGTGGCTGCACCTGGTGTGCAGAAGCCCAGGAGGAGCTGGGATGGCGTGATGGCATGTGTAGCCCCAGTCTAAAAGTCTGGCTTGTCAGGGCGCGGGGCTGGCTGGAGATCAGGTGCCTTCCTGCAGGACACAGGCCAGGACAAAGGGTGGGAGGAGGGCTGCACCGGCCCTGAGCCTGTTTCCAGACCTGTTCGGATTCTGTCTTCTTGTTGCGCACAGTGGGAGCCTTGGTGTCAGAGGGGCCTGGTCCTGTCCCTGCCCGTCTCACCCCAGGTCCAGAATGCCAGATCCAGGGACCTGGGGGCTGCTTGGCAAACTGAGGGAAGATGTGCTTGAGACTTAGACCCCAGCCTCATAAAAGGGGGGACCACAGCCCACACCGGTGCTCTGGGTGGTTGGTGAGGCGGCCCCCATGGGGCCGTATTGTCCTGGGTGTCAGGCTGCAGTGACTCACCTATGCTCACTGCCCTCGAGGTGAGAAGACCGGCCCTGGTGACAAGGGCTGTGACCTAAAGGTGGAACGCGCAGTAGGCAGAGCAAGATCAGGTCTGTCTTACGTCAGCTCTTGGGTTGCGAGTTTCTTCTGGTCCCCTGATAGGATAGCACACCTATCCACACAAACACTTGACTCTGCTGTCAAGCAAGCACTGTGCTAACAGAAGCCTGTGAGGCCAGAGCATCTCCCCCACGTGCTGGGCGGAAATGGCTCCAGACGTTTGCCTCATCCACAGTCCACACCACTGTCAGAGCCCGGCCTGCCTCTCCAGCGTCCCGGCTTTCCCACCACTAGTTTTGGGGTCTATCATCTTGTTATTTTTAAAATTTATTTTTATTTTTAATTTGTGGCAAGAGAAGCTAAATCCCCAGGGTACTAAAAGGAACTCTGAGTGGGTGGTTTTTCCTGTTGAGTTCTGCAGTGCTGGGATGGAACTAGGGCTTGGCGCCTGCTGGGGACCCTTCTACCATGAAGCCACAACCCAGCCCCACATTCTGTGACATCGCTTCAGAACAAGAAGCCAGGGCCAGGAGTCGGGGACCGGCGCTAACTGCATCCATTTCTTTTTATTTATGGCCTGCAAGCCCAGGGAGGCTGGGAAAGGTGTGGCAGGCAGACTGGCTCCAGGTGAGCAGGCCGAGCTCCGTGGCACTGAGGGCCTTAGGCCTAACTTTCACAGTTGGTTTCCAGTGGGGGCTGACCTCGCCCTTGCTGTGGTCCTGTGTTTTTGTTTTTTGGTACTGGGATCAAACTTGGGACCTTGCGCTTGCAAGGCAGGCAGCGGAACCACTGAGCTAAATCCCTGGCCCCCGGCAGTTACTTTCTGGCCAGGATCAAGTGTAGCACGTTTTTACACTTTAATAGCTGAGGACGGTATGTCACAGGACTTCTGCACACCCTGCCTGGTACTGCAGTCCTTTCCAGGATGGTGACCCCTGGGGAATTTAAAAACAAGGAACCCGAGGGAAGGGGGCAGGGAGGTCCAGGACCTTCCTTGCACCTCGAGCCTCAGTGTGATGCCGGGCCCTCCTGGCTCCCCACTTGTCTTTGGTCTCCCCCTGGAGCCCCCCAGCCTTGTCCAGCTGAGGCCATGCATGCAAGCCGAGGTCAGCAAGAGAGAACACAAGGCCAGCACTGCGTCCCAGTTTCTTTTTATTTTTTTTGTTCTTTTTTTCATTTTTTTTAAGTATGGAGGCTCAAGTATAAGATGTAGATTTCTTTTTTTGTTTAAGCTTTACAAAAAAACAAAATAAAACAAAAAACTCCTTTTGCATTCCATAAAAATTGACAGAAAAGCACCTGGCCAGAAGAGCAGGGCGCTGCCCCTCCCCGGGCTGCGCAGCTGCAGGGCCGGGCGGGTCTGCTCTGCCCAGGACGAGGCAGGGCCCGCCTCTCCTTCCTCCAGAGATGCCCGTCCCAACCCGACCCGACCCCAACCCCAAGCAACTCCCAAACACACATGGAATCAGTTTTTCTTCTATCTTTCACACACCACAGTTATTTCATAAAATTTTTTTGTTTTACATTTTTTACACCAATGTAACAAAAAGGTGGGAGGGAGGGGCGGGTGGCTGACAGTGTATTTTATGCCTCTAAATGGAGGGGTAGGGAGGGAGACAGGGTCCAGGCGAACAAAAAACACAGTTTCTATGGAAATATCGAGAGTTTCGATAGCAAAACGTGGTGGGAAGCAGGCCTGAGAGCCAGACAGGGTGGTTATGGGCTTTATTGTCAGGGAGAGATGGCGCGGTGCGGTGGGTGGAGGTCCATGATGCAAGTTGTTATGTGACCTGTCGAGGAGGGCAGGGCCGAGGGAGAGGGAGCAGAAAATGAGTTTTCTAAGAAAGGAACCTAATGAGGGCATGGCGTGGCCAGTTAGCACGAAGCAGAGGTTTAACATTGCTGCTTTCTCTTCAAAGCCTCCACCAAGTCGTTCTTAAGAGCTTCTTGTTTTGATTTGTCTGCGAAAGTCTGCACAGACCTGCAGAGGAGGAAAGGAGGGTTACACGTGGATGGAACCAGAAGAGATGTGGCACTGAGGGCCAGGCCAAGGCTCTGGGCCTGCTCCGGACCTGTACCCTCAGCACCAGCACCGGGCCTGGTTTCTGGAGAGGCACCGCCCACCGATGATGTCAGCTCCGCCCAGGCAGTGGGTGACCTGGTTCTAGCAACCAGGACCTAGGGCCACCGCTTTGGGCAGAAGAACCCAGTGGCATGGGACCCGGAAGGTGGCTTCTGGCTGCAGAGCAGCTGCCCCAGGCTTCCAGCTGGACATCTGGGCTGCGGCAGAGGGGGCCGGCTGCTCCTCTAGGTGTAGCAGGGCCCCACCCGGCGAGCTGAGCCGTTAGGAGCAGTGCCTCTGCGTGCCAAGGCAGCACAGGAAGGCCAGGTGCTTTTAGGCTTCTGCTCGGGGACTCAGCCAGGATTCTGGAAGGCGGCACAGGAGTGAGGTGAGTGCCTGCACCCCCTGCTGTCCAATCCTGGAAACACCCTTTTAAGAAAGAGAGACCCCTGGCAGTTCCCAGCAGGATCAGCGGGGAGAGGGAGGGCAAGGCCCAGAGGTCTCAGGTTTACAAAATGAATGGGAAAGAAGCATCAGGAAACCAAGCCCAAGTGCTGGATGGGGGAGTAAAAGGAAGCAGTACTGGGAGAGGCATTGGCATCCCAACTTAACGTCTGGCTACTGAATCCTAGAAACATCATACAAGGGTCCAAGGCGGCACAGACAAGACTCTGAAGCAATCTGTACACAAAAACATCCCCACCAGAAAGGCCGCCGCTGTGGTCAGTGCTGCTGAAACACACGTCTCTGTATTTGCCCTGGATCAGCCCGGATTCCACATCCCAGCTGAGCCACATGGTTTACAACGGGTGGCCAACAGCACCCTCGGCGGGACACGGTGGCTGAGCAGTAGTACAGGGGCTTCCGGCTGGGCAGGGCCAGGTCTTCTGGGAAGGACGAAAAAGACCCTCGGATCTGAGCTGTGTCCAGCCAACCCCGCCCTGCAGAGGTGACTGTTTCAGTGTCAGGCTCAGGTTAGAGGTGAGGACGCCAGACTTGGTCAGCCGCGGGCCTAAGGAGCAGAGGCCCCACTCACGGGCAGAGCTGCGGAGGAAGGATGTGCTTCCAGGAGGTGTCTGTCCCACCGGCAGGCCCCCAGCGGCCCCCAGGAACGCCGCTGTCACGGTGTACCTTAAAAAGGATCTTCTCCGTGACATGGCGGGAAGCCTGAGCCTCGTTGGCTGCCTTGGACTGGGAGCCAGCACACACTCACCAGCCTGCCGCAGAAGCCACACAGCCTCAGAGCAGCTCGCCTGTTGCACACACGCCTGACCCCTGCCCACTGGAAGTTCCCTGAGCCTCTTCTGGGCTGAGTGGACCTGCCAGGTTTCCAGTATTTGCCTTGTTATTCAAAGCCACCTTCCCTCCTTCCCCCAGGGGTGCTGACTGCCTCGGTACACCTGCACTTGTCCAAAGCTCAAGTCGTGATTCTTGGCCACTGCCAACAAGCACGACTGTTTTCCTTTCCCTGAACAGAGCTGGCAGGAGAGGCCACGTTCACTGTGGCTCATTAGGTGACAGCCAATGGGCTGGGGTGGCCCCCGCAGCCATCTGGAGGCGCAATGGGCTGTGCCCCAGGCCCAGGCTCGGGGGAGACCCCCTTCCCAGGTCAGGACAGGGCTTCGGGGTTTCTGGGGTCCCTGCTGGAGAATTCGGGAAGAGCTGGCTGTGAGTCCCCCAGACCCAGAGAGGCTGCCCGAGGAACGAGGATGGGCAGAGGGCACAGCCCAGCGCCTGCTGCCATGGGAGCCAAGAAGTGCACACAGCAGCCTCTGCGGGCGGCAGTGTTAGTCCCCAGGGCTGGGCTTCTTCAGGAGCAAAGGCCCAAACCCATGTTCCCCACGCCTAGCCTCGGCCCAGAGTGCAAAGCACGCACACTACACACGTGATGCATGTCTGCGCTACGTGGGGCTGAGGCTACACGTTCACATGGCTGCTCACCAGCCACGAGCGGACGCAGGGTTAGTGCTGGTTTAAATGGCCTCGCAGCAGCCGCCGGACCCGCGGGGTCTCAGCGGGTTGGTAAGTCCCGTTTAGTGCGCATTTCAGGCCTCTCCGGCAGGGTACCTGGGCCAGCTTAGTTATCAGGCTGGATGTAGACCTGGCGCTGGGTCAGCACTTGAGAAAGCTCCCTCTGCAACTGCTTAAACTTGTGGTTGTCGGGGATAGCATCAAGAGATCTAAGAGTGTTCAGAGAGGGTGAAGCCAGAGGGAGAGAGCAACAGCAGTGAGAACATGGGGCTGGAAGCTGGGGAACAGGCAGGGACACATGGGGGGTCACCATGACCCTCTACTGCAGGTCAAGGCTGGCGGTGGTGCCAGGTTTCAGGGCCTTGTACCCATCACCCTGCAGGTCTGCAGGGGCCGCCTCCTTATAAAACTGTATAATCTGTCTCCTAGACAAATACACAGACTGGGGCCGCCTCTGGGTCGAGCACTCCTCTCCTCTGGCCCACCCAAGAGAACTGGGCATGGAATGGGCTCAAGGGCACAGTGGGGCTCTTGGACTCATGGTGGAGCTGGGCTGCAGAATCCTTCACAGGCGTCACCAGTCCACCTGACCTCACGCCCTGCCTCCCCGACTGGAGAGGGACACTGAGAAGGATGTGGAAGGTCTCCATGAGGGCCCAAGCGACGGCTTAGAGGAGAGCCTGGCCTCTGGACTCCAAGACCAGTGCTCATTCCTTAGCTACTACCCCCAAGGCCCGAGACCCTTGGCTTTCTGCTCAGCAGAACCCAGGGCCTGAGGTGGGTTAAGGACAGGACCTGACTACAGCCCTAAGAGAGCGGCCTGCACCCTCTGCACCAGTCTGTAGGCTACACGGTGCTGCCCGGAGCCCGGGCTGCTCAGAGGTGGCTGGCCCCGCAGCAGGCATCCTCTCTGGCATCTTGGGGGTGGTGGGGGCCCCTCAGGCCCCATCGCCAAGGGAGCTGGGCAGATTCTCTACACGGGTCTGACAAGCTGGACAGGCAGACTGCGAAGATGAGGGCACTAAAGGCTGAGAAGGTGAAAGAGGTGGGAACCAAAGCTATGGAGAGTGAACTATAGCGGGTAACATCCCTTTCAATCCCAGAGTTGGAGTACTTTGGCCCCATTTTTTTGGGGGGGGCGGGTACTGGAGATCAAAGTCAGGACTTAGCGCTTACAAAGGCAGGTATGCCACCACTGAGCTAAATCCCAGCCCCTTTGGCCTCATCTTATAAATGAGGAAATTGAGGCCCAAGGCCACATAGCTATTGACCAGCACAGCCAGGTGTCAAATCTATGGTTTTGGTTCCACCACTTCTGACTTCTGTAATTACCTCAGCCCGTTGACGATATCCTTTGTCTTTCCAAAGTAGATCTCATTCAGTGTACTTCTGATTTTATTTTCCATGTCCTGTGAAGCAAGGCGGGGTCAGCCAGCATGGTAAACAGTGAGGAACCGAGGCCCACCCCACTCCCACCCCCTGTAGTCCCTGCTTTGGCCACAGTGGGGAGCCATGCAGCTGTGCGAGCTCCCAGCAGCCAAGACCCCACCTCTCATTTGTGCTCAGGAAGCCAACACCTAGGGACTGGCGGCCAACTTTGACCGTTAACTGGGAGCAGCTGGTCTAAACCACAGCTCCACCCCTCAGTCTGGCCACCAATTCTGTGAACAATTCCTGTGGTGACAGGCAAGGCGGAGGCAGCCTCGAAGCTGCTCCAAGGCCACCCTGCTCCAGGGATCTTCCCAGCCCAGGTCTCTGTTCTCACCTGGTGGAATGGGACAGACAGGACTTATCGCGTTCTAGAGCCAAGGTCTGAGTGCGGCCCTCTGAGAGTTCGCTGTGGTGCCCAGAGTGAAGCCTTGTGTGTGGCCCAATCAGAAGGCTTAGAGGCCGAGGCAGGCGAGGCCAAGCAGGCTGGCACTGGCACAGGAATGAACCACAGCCCTGGGATCAAGATGCCACTCACCTCTACCAGGCGCCCGATATTGGCTATGTGTGGGGAGCAGTCACTCACAGTTTCATCTTTTTCCATCTGCAAATGACAAAAAAGCATTGCTCTGCATGAGAGGAAGCACTGCTCCCAGAGAACGCAGCCTGCTCACCTCCAAGGTTTACAAAGAGCCGAGGGCTGTGCTGTGGGTGGCTCTGTGGAACCAGCCGCAGGTGGTACAAGGCCACTTCTGCGGCACAAAAATGTAATTTCAGACCACAAACAACCCAGCCAACAGATGCCCCTAGAGCCTATTTCCAGGGGAGTTTTCTGCTGCAGCCATGGGAAGCACTCACCCACCATTCACCCACGACCATGGAGGGACAGCAAAAAGGCCACTCTAGCCTCACTCACTCACTCCGCCTTCACACCACTGCCGGCAGGTGTGGGTCTGGGCTGCCTGCCTGGACCAGGGTCTAGGGTGCAGCCTCCTATGCCATGACACCATCACACCTTGGCATGCTGTTGGCTGAAGACCTTGCCAGAAGGGCCTGACAGGGTACTCCAGGCTCCAGGACCTTCTGTGTAGGCCAGGCAGTCAGCTTCAGCTCCACAATCAGCAAACTGCTAGGCCATACGTGACCTGGGCACCTGGACAGGGATGGTGGATTTCCCCTATTATTTTCCCCATTACTTCTCTGACAAGATTCTAACTTTAATTTTGGTTGTTCGGGGGACTGAACCACTGAGTTAGATACCCAACCTTTTTAAAATTTTGAGACAGGGTCATCATCCTCCTGCCTCAGCCTCCCAGAGGGGTGGGATTATGGGCATGTGCCACCACACCCTTGTGATTATAGCTTTTTGAGGAAGAGATTCCTGTATCTCATAGGGTGCCAGGCAGACTACAGATCATGTAAGTAAATGTCCAACATCACTAAACTGACTCTAAGAGCTTAATGCTGAAATAACAGTATGGAATCTGGAATATGAAACAGGGAGAGCTGGGCTGCAGAGGGAGCTCAAGGCCAGTCTGAACGATACTGCGAGACTCTTAACACATGCGCGCGCGCGCGCGCGCGCGCACACACACACACACACACACACACACAGAGCAGAGCAGTATCAGAGTGGTCTTTAGGCCGGTACAGGAGGCTGATGTGTGTTCAGGGCTCAGAGGCTCTGTGCTTCCACCTGCTTCTGTCTGCCTTCATCAGGGAGAAGGGTTTTCAGGCAGGGAGATAAAGCCAAACCCAGATAGGTGGGAGCTGAAGACACGAGTGGGTGAGCGGAGGGGACTGACTGGTCGAGAAAGGCTCTCACTGTGCAATTCAGCAAGGCCTTGAACTATGTCGCTTCGGGTGGCCTTGAGCTCGTGGTGATCCTCCTGAGGGTGCTGGGATCTACAGGCGTCCGTCACCACCTGGCCCAGTCACTTGGAATGGTCAGGCTTCCTGGGTCAGACAACCCGACCTCGAGGATGATGGCTCACCTTGGAGGTGCAAGGACACCAGAGCAGCAGTGCTGACCGGCCTGGAAACCAAGGCTAACCGGAAACTGATGAAGACGTCAATACCACACCCCCACCCCACCCCCGTACTGGAGATTAAAAACCCAGCGCCTTTACATGGAGATAAGGTCTTACTATGTCACTAAATTGCCCAGGCTGGGCTTGAACTTGTGTTTCTCCAGCCTCAGCTGCCTAGCATCTGGGATTGCCGGTGCAGACATCAAGTTTTGATGGAATCATTAAAAACCATCAAGAGATCACAGAAGCTGGCACCGGCTCACCGAGGTCAGGGTCTACCACAACCCGCTCATGTCCTACTTGGGCTGGAGGCAGGCTCTTGGCTAACATCTGCAGCTGGGGCGGAGACAGGGGTGGGTGACAGCCTTCTGCCCACAGGGCTGGGCCTGTGCTCCCAGGTGGCTTCTGAGGCAGCCAGCAGGTGCCTCTACCTGCCCCAGGTCAACCTGTCTGTCCAGATGCAAGCCTTTCAGATGCAACCACACAGCGCTGTAGATCGCAACCCTTTGTTCTTCCTGCTTCAGAGTGCGATCCAGATAATTAAATTCAATATTAGCCTTACTAGGTACACAATGGGTACAGCTGACTTGTAAACAGCTCCTGTAAAGAAGTGACTTGTGGGTGTTAGGCGGTTTCACCTTCATCAAGAACTCGGTCAGGTCTGGTGGTGCACACCCATAATCCTAGGTGTTCAGGAGACAGGCTGAGGCAGAAGGATTGCAAGTTTGAGGCCAGCTGTGGCAACCTAGGGAGACCGTGTTTCTAAATAAAATACAAAAAGGGTTGGAGATGTAGCCCAGTGTTAGAGTACCCTTGGGTTCAATCCTGGTCACTGGGAAAAAAAAAAAAAAAGTGACGTGACCACTGTGTAGCTTTCATGCAACTTCAGGGTACAAAAAGGAAACTATGACAGGTGCTCAGGTCAGGGTGACATTTCTACCCTACTACAAAACAAAGCATGGTAGCCCAAAGTCCATGATTTATATCAGAAGGTGATGGTGGCCCTGTTCTATGCTGTTGTCTGGACACATCAGCAGGGCTGTGTTCAGTTCAGGGCACTGATTGGCGGGGGGTGGGGAGGGCTTGTTATATAGCCCAGGCTGGTCTTTAACTTGTGGCCATCCTCCTGCCTCAGCCTCCCAGGCGCTGGAATTACAGATGTGTGCCACCACGCCCAGCTAGAACTCTAGATTTTAAGGGAATCATGGACAAGACAGTTTTTCCTACCTAAAAGATTTGCACATCCTGACCCCAAGAACGAAGAGGGAAGAAACGGGGGTATCTAACCCTGGGTGTGTGGGAGGTGACTCGGGAAACTGCAGGACTCTGAAGCGGGGAAAAGACCAATCTCTGTCACTACAGGTGGTGGTGGGGCACTCGGAGGGGAGAAAACATCAGGGATGACTGAGTTGAGCCCACAGTGTGCTAAGAGATCTGTCCTTAACAGGCCATAAGCTCCAATCACTGAGGGGTCTGGGGGAATGGGGTGGCCACTGGTAATATGCGGTAACATGGGGATCCAGTTTAGAAACCTAGAAACTATGACCCTGCAAGCCCCTTCCAAAATTATGTAACTTAATCTCTGCAAAACAAACACATCTGGTTCTGGCACCTGGGAGACTGAAGCAGGAGGATCACGAATTTGAAACCAGCTTGGATCACACAGCAAGATCCTGTCTTAAAAAACTGAGACATCTGGCTGCAGCAGGATTGTTCTGCTGAGGGCTGGTCAGAAGACAGAGGGAGAGGAATGCCAGACAGATGGGCTCCCCTGCCGTCCGTGGGCCGTGGATTGCCCTGAGCACCCTTAAGACAGGTGTCGTGGGGAGTCCATCCAGAGATGCGACGACGGTGCCAGCCACCCTGTGCGTGTCGGTAACACAACTCAGCCTCCCCCAGGCTGGGCCCCCACCGACTGTGTGTTCTCTCTCCACACAGGAACGGTCACTGTGCCCACACTCAGGCTGCTCAGAGCTGCTGTGCTGGGCAGGGAGAAGGCTGGGTGCATGGGGTGTCTGATCCGAGTGAATTATATCCTTCCAGAAAATCACTCTCTCTCTCCTTCCTCCCCAGCTCCTTGAAGAGGCAGACCCCTGCTCTCCCCTTACCCCTGGGAAGGGATGAGGACTTTGAGCTCACTGATGGTTCTATTTTAAATGATACCAGCAGCCCAAGGTAAGGCCAGCACTGTGGGCAAAGGGCTCGTTAAAAGGGTAAGTAAAGTCACACCAGCCATTTAGTCTTCTGGTTCCTATCTTTGTGCTTTAGGATCCAGAGCCACCTTTCAATGAGAAGGGCTGAAAACACTGGATACTCAAAAGGAGGTGGGGGAGTACATGGGCTCCCCAGGAACAAATAAGGGGCCCCTCGGTCAGGGCAGGAAAGCGAAGCCCCAATAAAAGGCAAGCAGGGACTGGGCAAGGGGAGGGAAGGTGCTGGGTGGGGACAGAGATCCTGGCACACACCAACGTTTTCCACAGCCCCTACCCCCCGCTGACTCCCTTCCACACCTGGCCAGGCAAAGCTTGCTGGCAATGCTGACCCACCAGAAATAGAACTATTTTTGTAATGCATATATTATTACATCCTTATAAAAGTGGCTGCCAGAAGGAAAACACTTTTATGTGCTGTGGCCGCACAGATGTTCCACAAGGTAGTTCCAAATGAAGTCTGGAGTCAGAGTCCAGCCTGCCTGTCCTCAAGACCCTGTCCTCCTGTCCATGGCTTGAGGTGGGGGCGAAACTGGAAAGCTCTTGGAAACTGGTGGCTGTTGACTTAGAAGGGGAAACTGTCTCTCACTGGCATGTGGCATCTTTAAGCGGGCACAGCCAGGAGGGAGGGCTGCTCAAGAACCCTGTGGCTGCTTCTGGTACCGGCTCCAAGGCACTTGTACTGGAGCCCAAAAGGAAAAGGGTCTCAGCTTGTCCAGGACTTGATTTCCTTGCCTCTGCCTCACACTAAAGAAACTAATGTACATAAAGTGCCTAGAGTGGTGCCCGGTGGGATGGCAGCTCTTCCGGCTTGTCAAAACAGAGCTCCATTCCCAGGACTCTCTGGCCTTTGGAGTCCTGCTAGCTGCCAAGGCATCCTGTGGGCATGAGGCCAGGCTGGAGGCCAGCATTCAACCTGCTGCCAAGCCAAGGAAGGCTAGGGTTGCTCAGTATAGGAAAACGCTGGGTCTGGAAGTCTGTACATTCTAGAATGTCTGTGGTAGCAGCAGTAACAACTATCTTTATTGAGTATAAACCATGTGTTGAAATGGTCAGAGCTGTCAAAACAGACATCATTGACTCTACGGTGAAAACCCAGTCTTAGAGAAGTGAGGTGATCTGTCCAGATCACACAGCTGGGAAGCTACTGGGCTAGGACCAGAACCAAGGTCTGCATGATCCTGAGAGCTGTTTTCTTCCACAAGAACTCTTTGTTGGCTCATCTTCCGCTGTGTTCTTTACCATTAGAAACTCCCACCAGGGTCCATCTCAGCCTCATGTGTTTTCCTCGTAGCATCTCTGGCCCCTTCTTCTCCTCCCGGTCCTCCACAGCCTGGGACGGTGGCAGAGAGACAGCCTAACACCAGTTTTCCTTCCCGACCAGGCGCTGGGTCACTCTGCCCGGGTCATCTGACAGACAGACACCCCACAAACCGCATGTAGGAGCCACGCTGTTCCAGTGTTGCCACCCAGGCGACCTCATGGAAAGCAAGGAGCTGCCTGCAGCTGGAAGGGCGGGCGGGCCGTGGCTTCACCCCTCTAAGGGAAATGTACTGCCAAGCCCAAGTCAAGGAGGCCTCTGCTGCCATGACCCACAACAAGGGCCTCGGCTGGGCCTTTCCTGCCTAAAGACACACCGGGAGCCTTGTGGCTACGTGGGAAGCCAGCTCTGCCTGCAGATCCGCCCCGATCTCTCCACCCGACAAAACATTCCACCTTCATGTCTAAATATTTAGAATCTGGGGGGGGGGAAAAATCAAACGAACATCTGCAGGGCCCTTCCCCGGATGGGAGACCTTGGATCTCTTTCCAGAGATCCATGGTCTGCCTTTCCCACGTCTGCTGTCACAGAGTCAGGGCCCCAGTGCAGCTTCTACTGCGACATGCTGGTAACTTGGTAGGAGGCCTTCTCACTTGCCGGGCTTCCTGCTGGGGCACCTTTGCCTGGCTCCCTGTTTTCACACAGGAGGTCCCATGGGGCTGGAATGAGCCCCCAAAGCTCCACAGTGGCAGGGATTCATTTAAATAGTTCATTCCATTTGTTTTCTAATCCACATTCCAGAGAAACAGCTCTAGATGGGGTAATAAAAGGCCACGTCGAGGGGGTGGCAAAGGCCCCAGGAGCTCAGGCCCGGGTGTGGGTGTGTCCCACCAGCTGCGGCCATTCATCACAGTGACAGGAACCACCTGAGTGCAGTACTCCAGCTCATTTGCTGGCACTTCCTGAAGCCATCAAACCAAGAGGGGGCGTGGGCAAGCCTGGGATGCCCTGGGAAGGACCCCTGAGAAGTACCAGCAAGTCTTTCGGGGACACTTCTGCAAGCAGGTATCAAATGCCAGAGAACAAGCGAGTGTCTGGGGCCGTGCACAGGCCAGGGCCATTGGCCAGGAGCTGGGACCCTGGGAGAACTGGGACACTGCTTGGCTTGCAGAGGTGGGGTTCCTGACAGCTGTGCAGGATGACACCTTTACCCACAGGCACAGTGAGTGTGACAGTAAGGAGGCTGAGTGTCCGCAGGAAAGGCCACCTGACCCGTGCGCACAGCCTGGGGCTCATGCAGCCTTCCTGCTCTGCTCCACACACGTCCTCTAGCCTCCTGCTTCGCCCCCTTCCTGCCTGGAGTTAGTCCTCACTTCTCTGCTGACCCCTCCTGCAGAGACCCTTGGATCTCTGGGGGCTTCCCAGGGCCAGGCCTTGTTACCTCTCTCCTGGGCAGCTCTAACAGCCAGCACCCCTACTGTCAGTCACTTCCTGCAAACGCAGATCCGTCACATCATTGGTCCCCTTGAAAACCCTAAAGCCTTCTTTATTCCCTCCAGGTGTGAATGCACCTCCAGTGGTCTACCTGTCCCCGGTACCCGTAAGGCAGGACCCTGCCTAAAAGGAGCCGATTTTCACTTGAACATTTATTTAGCATCTTCTGAATGGTGAGCACAGAGGACAGTTTCAGACCAAACAAGTGTGGTAGAGTAGGAAGCGCCGTTTCTTTTTTCCAGTCGGGCAAATCTAAGTTCAAATCCTGGCTCTACCTCTTATTGGTCAAGTCATCATGGACAAACTATTTAATAGCTGAGCCTCAGTTTGCTCACCAGTAGGGTGGGGATGACGGCTCTGCCTTGTTTCTAATCAAGGAGATGGCCCTTACAGCCATCCGTGCTGAGTACTGCTCTTTGCCCAGTGTTCCAGGAAGCCTTCTGTCTCCCATCCAAGGCAACCCCAGACATTTTTCCAGGGCTCATCTGGGACTCATAGCAAAACCCTCAGTCCTCACTTCCCTTGTTTGCTCAGAAGCTGCGCATCATTAACTTAGATTTGTCTACCCCACTGCTCCCCCTTCCCCTTTTATAGTTACTTACATTGGAAGCAAGCCCTAGCTTTAATGCACCTCAGATGAAATATGGGATTGACCGTAAGAATGATGACAGAAGCATGAATTTCCTCATTAAAGCCCCGAGAGCAAAAGGCAACGCAAACAAGGTCTGCGGCCCCAGCCAAGGTGTGCTGAGGACAGCTCCTCATCAGGCCTGAGTTTGGCTTGGCAGGAGCTGCTGCTCAAGGCAAGCTGGAACCAGACACTGGCTATGGCTGACAGCTCTGATTTAAACTATTAGGAAGGCTGAGGATGAAATATTTGTCCAGGTCACTGTATACTGCGTGGAATTATAAACAGTTCAGAATGGTAAGTGGTACAGGAAGTAGTCTCTGGACACAGATTTAGGGCTTTCCACTATTTCCCAGGTGTCAGGCTGTGGGAAGGCAGGCGGTGGAGAGGCTGGGGTCCTGGGGGTGCGCTGCCGCTCAGCGTCCCTAGGAGGTGCGAGGCCGTTTCCTCTGCCACGAGCATCAGGGCTTGGTTCTGGGTGGGGCAGGGACAGCCTTGTCTAGAGGCCGGACAAGAGGACCCTGTGCTCCCTCTGGCTTCTGGCTGAGATGCAGCAGAGGTGGAGGAGGTACTCAGATGTACTGGCTGACATCAGCCTTGCACTACTATTTTTCAAATGCCTGCAGATGTTGTTGCAACTAATAAAATACAAGTTAAATTAAGAGTTACTAACTGATGCTTTCTGTCATTTTTTTTCTATCAAGAGCTATCAACAGTATGATTTTTTTTTCCTCTTTGCCGTGCTAGGGATCAAACCTAGGATCTTGCATATGCTGCGCAAGAGTTCTGACACTGAACCACACTCTCATCTCTAAGAGTAGCTATTTTGTTGAAGGGAAAAAAAAATCTGACACTGAGGGGAATGCTCCTTCTCAAAAGCTGGGTGTTCTAGAACGGGACAGGGGTCCACACGGCAGGTTCCCTCCTGAGGGCAAAGTGCTGCTCCCTCAGAGCCAAACTTGCTGCCTCTGTGAGGTCTGTGCCCTTTCCCCTTTGCTCAGAGCTTCCTGTGAGGTGAAGGCCTCTGGAAGGAAGTGTGCAGAGGGGTCTCGGAGGGGCCAAGGCCTTTACCACGGGCTTCCCTCCAGATGGGCTCTGAAACTGGCTGAGCCATTCCAGTAGTGTCTCCACCAAGTAAAGTCTGCCGCAGAAGCAGACGGTCTCTTCCCGTGCCAACTCCAAGCTCAGTTTAGACACGGCTGAGAAGGGATGTCTAGGAGCCTGGTTGCTAGTGACACCCAAGGGTAAGATGGGTGAGAGGAAGGGGTTTTTCAGTTTTAATGTGCACACAGAAATCCCGGAGAATTTCACTGAAATGCAGATCCTGAGTTGACTGGTCTGGGTGAGGCGCAATCTTTCAGCTTTTCTGTTAAGCTCTTTGTTGAGCTGAGGCAGCGAGGTGCAGAGCCCTTGAGCGGCAGATGAGTGGCTCACAGAGAGCTGAGCCGCCCTGGCCTGACAGTGGTCTCGACGGGAGGGCAAACAGTGTGGTGCTGCTTCCTGGAGCAGCACACAAGCCTGCAGTGCAGGACCGGCCAGCCCCAGGGAGGAGAAGGAGCCACGGCCAAGCCCACAGTCACCTTGCCCCACTGCGGAAGGGAGCCAGCTGGGATGAGGCAGAGGTGTGAGGGCATGGATTTGAAGCAGAGCCCTCTGAGATGGTGGATTTGCAGCCGGCCACACGATCACCCTGAGTGGGGCACACCGTGTACTCATCTCCGAGGTTGGCAGGCACCTGGAAGCACTAGCAACAGGAACTTTACCTGTCTGGTGAGGCTGCCACCGAGGTTCATGGTGCCCGAGCCAGATTTGTTGGTTTGCAGCCAGAGCATCACTGTGGAGGTCAACTTGTAATGGGCAGTGCGGCCACTGGACTTCTCCTAGGGGGATGAGGCAGAGATCAGAATCCAAGGAGTGATCTAAGCTGAGAAGAGTGTCTCCTTCCATTCAGGGCCATTCTAACACATCCCTTCCGAAGGCGTCACCGCATTACCTCTCTTAAAAATCCCAACTGCTTTTTCCCCCACGCCAGGAATTGACATCCTGGCCCTCCCAACTGTTTGGAAAGGGGCAGAATCTGCAACCCTGTGTATTAAGTTCTTTTGGGATCTTTATCATAGACTTCTACAGCCTTATATTTATCCAAATGGATTTGGGGCTTTTTTAGGAATCAGTGGGGTCTTTGTATCACAGTGGAAACCTCTGCTAGAGACTGGGCTCACGGGTGGGCTTGGTACCTGGCACTGGGAGGCCCAGGCCAGAAGCTGTGGGCAGTGGTACCTGCACTTCTACCACATGGATGGAATCCCAGCAGCCTTTGATCTTCTTTGATCCATCTCCAGCCTTCTTTATGAGGATCACTCCAGCAAACCCATGATCCAGATCCCAGAGGTAGACAGATGAGACACCACCTTCAAAATACCTGCAACAGACAGGCCCATGTGCCCATTAGGTGTTAAGAGATCTCAGACCAGGTCCCAGGCTGTTATTTGGCAACAATGGCCCTAGACATCTATGGCCCCTCCCTGCAATGGAACGAGGCCCATTTTCCCCGGTCCAGTCACCCTCCAGGTTAAGAGTAAGACGCAGTATTTTCAGGGTCAACAGAAGAATGTAGACTCAGGGGTCATGAATATAAATTTGAGTTTGAGCTTTGCGTTTCTGGCAAGCTTACTAAACTTTTCTAGCTTTCAAAATTCTTTCCAGATAAAGGATCTGGCACGCAGCAGACCGGAATGACTGGGAGCCACCACTACTGTAGTAATCATTATTATACGACTCTAGACAATATTTCTCTCTTTTGAGATTCCTGTTTGAAAGGGGAAATGGGAAAATATAGTAACAAGCACTGCACTCCCCCATCCCAGGAAGACCCCCCGATGGGCATGCAGTCACTCGTTATAAAACCCTAGGCAGAAACAAAGGGTCAAGCGTGGGTATACAGCTTCTCCCCAGATCCAGGTCAGTAAGAAAAGATTCCCTGTTATGATCAAATGGATCAGGGAAAGAAAAGGCCAGGCGGACAGGCAATCAGGCTGAGAGCGCAGTGTAAGGGACCCGAGGAAACTGTTCAGGCACAGGCTGCTGTAAGTATAGAGATCCCAGGAATGCAGCAACCTGACGCAAAATCTCACACCGCCGAGAGCCAACTACAGCTCTGGAAAATTCGAATCTCTCCCGGCCAGCAGATTCTTTACCCGACAGTCCAGGACCTCTCTGACACCAGGGAGGCTGTGAATTGATAGTGCAGCAGCAGTGTGTGTGGGACCTTCTCAACGGCCCGGAAGGCTGGCCAGAGGGGCACAGAGGGCATCACACACACAGGTGAGCCCCAGCAGCCCCAGCGACTAGTGCTGCTCATGCGCCTATCCTCCGGACCACGATCAGCTGAGGCACTGACCAGTGACCAACTGTGAGAACCTGGACCACACAGACAATGCCGACTTTATCCCACAGCTTAGAGACAAAAGCAAAATAAACGAGACACGACAGATGATTACTGCTGTTTTTTATATTAAGTACTAAAAGTTAATATGCATCTGTGGATTATATCCCAATAGAGCTATTACATAACAGCAACAACAACACACACACACACACACACACACACACACACACGTATTTAGAGAGCACATATGAAGGGCAGATAAGAATTCTTTGTATAACTGTTTCTCTGTACCTACAGCAGGTTCCACATCCTTGGAGTTGGCCAATTTTGGGTTGAAGATATTCAGGAGAAAGACTGCAGCTATACTGAGCATGCACAGACTCATTTCCGGTCATTATTCCCTAAACAGTACAGTAGAACAACTACTCACATGGCAGTTGCCCTGTGTTCAGGACTGTTGAGTAACCCGAAGACGATTTAAAGCCTGCAGGTGGTATGCACAGGTCTTGTAACCTACCCCCTGCAGATACTTAGGGCCAACTACACTCTGTATTTGCAACTTTACTCAAAGTCTAAAACTATTTCAATTATTCAGTCAATGACATACAACAGAGTGTAACAGACAACCAGACCAAAGAAAAGGCCCGCCTCACGGATACGCTGACACCCGAGGGTGCCAAAGCTATTTTATTTCTTGCTCTAACTGGCTGCAAAGTGCAGGCGCACGGTGCTCGAGGGTGCTGTGCTTAGTTGGCTGCCCTTGCCTCATCCCTCCAAGACTCCTTAAGGTAGATGGGGTCAGCCCTCTGCTGAAGGAGAAGTCCCCACTTCTCCACCCCACACCCCCCGCGATTAAGCCGTCAAAGCGGGCTCAGCCCTGCCCCCGCTCGCAGGGGCAAGCACAGGAGCCACTCGGTGACACCTGCAGTTAAGTGTAGAGGAGCCAGATGCACGGGGACATGCTGCTCATACAGCAGCGTGCGGCCTGGCTCTGGATGGGTGCAGCAGTGCAGGGTCCTAAGAGGGGAAGCAAGCAGGAACGAGCAGGCACCCGGCACTCAGGGCAACTCCGCACCCGCAGAGACTCTGGAATATAAATGTCTCTAAACCCAAATCCTCCCCAAACTTCCCCTCCCAGGAGGAGATGTGTTTTGATTTAAGGTCTGAGGTCCCACCTCCCTCCGCAGAGAGACCCTGTTGTGGACCAGCCCCACAGGGGGTACACACTGGGCCATGTGGAAATGGGTCAGTCACCTGTAAATTAGAACTGGGCTGGACTCCAGCTTTCAAAGTGCTCGGGCAACACGCAGCATGGCTCGTGAATCTTTCCGGCCATGAGTTAATAACTTAGGAAGCTGGAGGGAACAGCAACCCACAGCAAACCTTTTGGTACCCTTCCTGCTGGTGACAGTTCTTGTGTTGCCAAGAAGGCTGGGCTGATAATTCCTTTTTCCTTCTCCTGGAACAAAGGCCGGAAGCCCAGGGACATTTTCAAACAGCTGCAGCGGTACTGCTCTCCTGTGTGCTGGAGTACTGGGGAGAGGCAGGTCAGGCTGCCCTGCGAGGGAACTAGGAGTCCTGGTGGCTTGGGAGTCCTAGTTAACACCATCCAGGGACCAGTTCCAAACTACCAGGTAGGCTGACTCCCCTGGTCCTACCCCTTCATTCTTCCGGAAAAGGTGGGACTGGCTGTTTCCACTCCAGTGCCCCACCCCGTGGCCCGGCTCCTGCCCTACTCAGCTTCTCTCTGCTACCCTCGGTTACCCTTGTGGTCTAAAGCTTCAAAATGCTGGAGAGGAAGAAGGTAAAAATGAAAGCCCAACTGTGACTTTCTTGTGGGTTACTCTTAAAAAAAAAAAAAGGCAGAAATATTATAGCCCAAAATACTATAAAATGATGTATCTCATAAATCTGATTTTTCCAAAGTCCCTTCCAGTCTTTGTCCGACACCTAATCTTTATATAATCGTAAGCACAACAAGGGGTACCATGTTGAGTTCAGCCTTTTTTTTTTTACCTGGCACCTAAGGATTATCACTTTTCCACCGAGCCACATGACCCTCATGACCATTTTTCATAGCTGGGATGGTATTCCACCAGGCAGGATCCTGATTTATAGTCTATTGGCTCTTAATACAGAAATGACGCAGTGGAATTAGAGGTGGTGCCCGGGCCTCTCCCTTGAATGTGTTCTCCTGGAAGGAATCGGGGCGTTCCCTCCTGAGGCGTGGCAGGCGAGCTGGGACGCAGCCTCCTCTGGCACGGCCCAGACACCACCAAGATTCAAGAACGGACTTGCATTCCATGCACCAAGAGGGACCTCCAGGGACTTGAGCGGCCACAAGTCTGAACACGGCTTTCTAAAACAGGATAGAGGACGAGTGATCAGAAGGACTGCTCTGAACTACCCAGAAGCACCAGCCTTCCGGGGAAGGGCTGTCAGGTGGGCTCCTTGCACAGTCAGGCGGGAGGTGACTTTGAGGGGCACAGATGCCTCCCCTACATGGTTTATGGTTTTGCTTTATGTGTGAAGCATTAATTAAAGAGGCACCTCAACAGGATTTTGAAAATTTATTCTTACCTATTGTACTTTGATCATAATGACATGAAACAAGGAAAAAAATTTTTTTACATGGTTCACATTTATGAGTTTTACATAAAGGCTTTTGTGGGTATTTTAAGAATGTGCTAAAATGTCTGAAACCACATGAAGCCATCTGAGAAGTCACCCGCCAGAACTAACAGCACACACATGGAAGCACTTTAACTGGCCTTTGTACATGTAATGAGTCAAATAGTATTAATATTGTTTAAATGCTAACATGCTATTTCAATAAGGTGGCTCTGCTATCGCCAGCGACCCGCTCTCCGGCCCTGCACGGCGACATGATCAGTGATCAGATGTGGCTGAGAGTTGAGAGCAGGCCACAGGGGAATTCAGCCACTCTGCCTTGAGCTGTGCCTGTGCTCGGTCATTTCAAAACCCCCAGCTCTCCAGGAAGCAAGAACGGGCCTAGGACTGAGTGCCTCAGCTGAGTCAACTGGGCTCAAGAGGGAGAGCCCAGAGTTGCAGCAGCAGTCTCGGGTCACAGGAGTGGCCGAGAGAACACGTGCCAAACTGGAGGCCCAAAGATGAAAGTGCGGATTTTGCTTGAGTTTCCTACCAAAGTGTGAAGTTGGGCAACCCAGGGCTGAATTCAACACACATGGTCAAGGTCCACTCAAATCAAGACACCCCACTAGCAGGATAACAATCTCAATCTCAGGAGACTGCAGAGAGTCACCTTTGACAAAGGCTGGACACAAAGAGGCAGGGCCTCAGACGGCTTCAGGATGCCCGGAACGGGTGCGATGACTGACCCAGATGAAAGCCTGGAATCACCCCCGCTGTCCTCGAACTGTTCACTAGTGGTTCCCAGCAACGATGAACCTTTGCTAAGGCAAACGGACCTGCAGAGGAGTCAGACAGCTGGCACCAAGGCAATGGAGTCACTTGGGGCAGGAGGTATAACTCCAAGATTATGTTTCCAGGGACGCCTCTGCACTGGATGAACAAGGAGGAAAGGGTAAGACGCTCAGGCAGAGCTGCTATTTATCAGCCTAGTCATGTACAGGGAAGCATGTGGTTGAATTTATTCACAAGACCCCTGAACTTGGATCAGCTCAAAGCCCAAAGTGTCAATAATCATCCTCTTGTCCCTCTTCCACTAGTATAATACCAAAATTGTGCACTGAGTCTATGCCCATAATTCTTTTACTGCAGGACTTCTAGGGGACAAAGAAAAAAGGGAAAACAGTACTTCACACTCAAAATGACCCCCTTCAAAAATGTAAAAAGAAAGTATTTTGGCCCCAGAAGCTTTACGGAGTGTTTGAGGCTGAGGTGTGCACAGAGACCTTGAATGGGAACTTGTGCTAGGAACCTGAGCTGTAACTGTGACTTATTTGATACCCAGGTCTGGCCAACCCCAGGCTGCAAACTTAACGGGGAGACGGGTTGCAGTGGAACCTGGCCTACAGTTCCTTCAAATTGCC